TCTGTCAAATACTGGAAAGTATAAGGGTGGGGGATTAAACTGCAGAATGAAGGCAGCTACTTTTTGTATTATAATGAGGTGAGAAAAAGCCATATAAAATTAATAATAACAACAACAATTAACAGACTCATCACATCAGTTAAAATACATCAGTTTAAAAGGGCATGCATACAGTGTAAAAGGACAAGATATACACATATTAAAACAATCTGCATTTAAAATTCATCATTTAAAATTCACAATTTAAAAATCATCTGGGTAAGCCTGCCAAAAGAGACTGGTTTTTAGTGCTGTTTTGAATTGGGAACTTTGTTTTTCCTTTTGCTAAGAAACTGGGGTTGGACGTGGGACTGAATCTGCTTTTTACTTTGGCAAAGACAGTGTATGGATCCATCAGGAGTTTATTCCCTTTTAAGTGCATTTACTAGATCTGCATGCACTATTACCAGCAGCACAAAGAATAGGACTAAAGAAATATAGTTTAGTACCCACACTGCCATCTAGTGGTGGAGGAAGGTTCCTTCACATAGTAATCCAGAAAAAGATTTGCCTGAAAGTGAAGGTCAAGGTCTAAAAAATATCTATGTATGTACAAGTTGAGTCTCCTTTATCCAAAATATTTGGGACCAGAAGTGGTTTGGATTTCAGATTTATATATTTTTATTCTGGAATATTTGTATGTGCATAATGAAATATCTTGGAGATGTAACCCAAGTCTAAACATTACATTTAGTTATATACCATATACATAGGGTAAGAGCCAGTGTGGCGTGTTGGTTTAGTTTTGGACTACAACTCTGGAGATCAGGGTTCAAGCTCTGGCTTCATTGTGAAACCCAGTGGGTTACCTTGGGCAAATCACATTCTCTCAGCCACTTCTGAAAAAACTTCAAGAAAACCCTATAATACTAGAGTTGTCATAAGTTTTTTAAAAAATGACTTGGAGAGGCACACAACAACAACAAAGTACTCTTAGGATGGCCAGAAGTCATAACTACAGAGGTGGACAATGCAACACAAAATGTAGGACATTCAATAAAAATGTAGGATGTTACAAAATAAAATCTAAAAGTACTAATATAAATATAAATCCGTGCTGTCCTGCTCAAGATGGAGGACATTTTAAAATTCCTTCTGGACATGTAGGGAATGTCCTGGAAAAGGAGGATGTCTGGTCACCCTGAGCACTCTATTAGCTGAGCTGGAGATTTGAACAGAGCCTTCTCTTTTTCCTTGGAGCTGAACCCACCAAAAACGAGAATTTGCATCCTCGGCTGCATCTGCACTGCAGTAATAATCCAGTTCGACACTGCATTGACTGCCACAGCTCAATGCTATGGAATGTTGGGATGTGTAGTTTTGTGAGAATGTCAGAGAGTGTCAGAAAGCTCTGGTGCTACAACAAACTACAGATCCCATTGAGCCCTGGCAGTTAAAGCAGTGTCAAAGCGGATTATTTCTGCAGTGTGGATGCAGCCTGAGTGTCAATCCTGCCCTGTCTTTGACCTCCTTAGTGCCCTTCTGGATGAGATCAACCCAAAAACGATGGTTAGAGCAGCCGGGCTATTGTCTGCTTTAACAAGGCAGTCCTTACATTTTTATACCCTGGAACAAGTGCCATGATTAACAGCCTCTTATGAGAATATAACTCCATTTATATGGTGTGAGAAAATGTGCTCCCATTGAGCAGGTGGCAAAACAAAGAAGGCATCAAATGAAGTAGAAGGTTGCCTTGGTCTGGTAACAGCCTTCAGAGAACCCTTTTACTCTCTTGGCACGCGCTGCAAATGTAACGGAGCTGGCCAGATTTACATTTCTGGGTAATTTTCTTTTATTGTTCATTATTTTACCTCTCGGGCCATAACAAAAAAGGGAAAAAAAAGTATGTATGCAGTCTGGCAAATATGATGTAGTGGAAAAATGAATGGGCAGTAAACGTGGACTTGGAATACAAGGGGCTTGGAGGGTGTCAGGAAAAGTGACTCACGGAGCTCCTAATTTAGGTCTGGGGGAACAGGCGGCTTGCTAGACATGAGGAGGACCTGGGTTTCGAATCCGGCACTGCAGTTATTATTGTCCTTTTGAGCTCGGCCTTTCCACTACCCCCTCCCCAAGCCAAGACATTTCATTGGCAATTACGCTACATCACCTCTGATCTCTTCTGGCTTTTACTTGGAGTAATGCAACAGCTCCACGTTTTTACACAACCAGCGTTCCTGTAACATTAAGAAGGAACACACGAGTGTGAAGAGAAGCCAAAAAACAGGCCCCTGCCAGACGATCCCTGTTCAGTTAAGGGCAGGAGCCATCTGTGGTGGATTATTCCCTTCCAGTCCTTTCTGCCAGTGGTTGACTCAACAGCTTTCTTATCTTGAAGGTATAATTCATAGGAGAGCCAGCATGGTACAAATGCTGGAGAGTGAGAATCATCTCAAATCAGCTAGTCTCCTGGCTAGTCCACTATTACTTTTTACAGAGGTTGGGAAAGTTACTCCACAATCCTATATGATGTGACATGACTTTACATATATGGTGCAGTGGTTCTTGCGTTGGACTAGGACTCTGGAGACCAGGGTTCGAATCCCGGCTTGGCTATGGAAACCCAATGGAGCAAATCACAGTCCCTCACCCTCAGAGGATGGCAATGCCAAACCCTCTCTTGAAGTAACTTGCCAAGAAATATTATAGGGGTTCATGCCTTGGGGTCACCATAGGAAATGACTTGAAGGCACACAATGTCAAGAAATACTGTAATTCATTGATTTAAACTATTTAAAATTTCTGGAGAAATTGGGGCGGGGGGCTTATAGGAGGGGAAGACTCCATCCCTTTTCTTCCTTTTAGTTTTACCAGGGGTGTAGCGATCCACTCAAAAAGAATTTTGTCACTCTGGCGATTGTCATGTGGGAGGCTTTTGTCCTCCTCTCGTCATTAAATCGCATTTAAATCATTGTAATAACATGATCAGGGCTCACACCCCTATGCTTTTCTCCCATCCTTCTCCCATAATTAAAGCGTAATTGAGACTTACCAGTGCGCTTGTCCCATCAGTAAAGCATCATGGCAATAACGGGAACTTCCATTATTGCCAAATGGTGGCTCCATGATGCTTTACTGATGGGAGCACACTGTTAAGTCTCAATTATGTTTTAATTATGGGAGAAGGATGGGGGGAAAGCATGGGGGTGCGAACTCCAATCACGCTATTACAATGATTTAAATGTGATTTAATAACGGGAGGAGGACAAAAGCCTCCCATGTGAAAATTCTGTCAGATAAAATTTTCCTTCATTCCTTCAATTTCTAATAATAATAATAATAATAATAATAATAATAATAATAATTTAATAATAATTTTAAGTAAGTTATATTAGGCAACATTGCAGGAACTACCATTCTTTGGAAGTCATTTTAATATGTGTGTTTAGTGTGTTTAGTCTGTGTGAAGGCTATTAAATAGTAATAGTAAGTCATTCAATCTTATCAGTGTATTAACCGATATAAGGCTGAAATCAATTATAGGTAGTTGTATATATATTATGGTTAGTAGAAGATTATTAATAATATTATTTCTTTTTGTTTAGACTTTCTTTCTTTTTGCTATAGTTTTAGTGTCTTTATGTTTTTTACCTTATGCATTTTATGGGTGGTTTTTTTTTTTGTATATTAAGTGTCTGTATTTACATTCTGTTTGTCTTTTTGTATGTCTATCTATGTTTATTAAATAAAATATTAAAAAAATAATTTTATTTCTACCCTGCCTTTTGCTGTAGAAATCAAGGCAGCTAACAGCTAAAATGGATCCAAACCCTGACAATAAACAATAATAACCCCCTGTTAAAATATATATTATATACAATCTCTGTTAAAACCAATTTAAACAGAAAACAAATTTAAACAAAGACAGACAACGAATTTCTAGCATTGCACAGAGAGAGACACTGAAAATCATTCACACCTAGAACTCTTATAATCGTTTGGTAACTTGGCCTGCTGCTTTTCTTTGGATGCTTACATAGTATTTCTAAATGCTCAATGGAAGTTTTAAGTAACAGTTGCGCTAGATATTTAGGATATGAAGGAAAAATTTCATTGGGGAGGCAGAATCCTTTTTTGGATGGGCACTGCCCTCATCACCCCCCTCCCAGGTAACTTGACCCTGCCTTTGTGTTTGTGGTGCCAGTGCTGAACCAAAGGCAGCTCTCAAGCTGGCACCAATGACCAGGATCTGTGCCAAGGATCTGAACAGAAAGGGCTGAGCCAGGAACTGGAAGAATCTTGAGACAGGAACTGAGTACTGTTGACCAAGCAAAGCACCAGCCTGAGGTCCTGCCATCTCAAGCAGAAGGATAAATATTGCTGCCCCTTTGCCACAGCCTGTCCCACTATCCTTCATTCACCCACCAAAGTTGGATGGTCTCTCTGGGCTGGATATCATGGGAGGGATTCGCAGCAACAAGAGGCCCTTGCCATTTCTCCAAAAGGCACCCTGGTGGGTACACTCAGGTAGTCTTTGTGATGACTTCTCCCACAGCGTCTTGCTTGGAGGAAGGGCTCCTGAGAGTGAGACATTTTGGCTTTGTAAACTGGGATGAGGATTGCGAGGCCCTCCAGAAACTGCACTCCAACAATATTTGGAGGACTGCATGATTCCTATCCTGCTGCAGACAGCTTCCAAAACCCAAACGCCTCCCTCTTGGGAGTCTTTCCTCAGAGTAAGGCATCATGGGAGTCAGTGGCATCACTTGCGGGGTATGGGAATGCAGATCGCAACAGGTGACACCGTCAGAGGGGTTGACACCAAAAAGACTGTAATTTTTTGGGTGCATATAACCAGTGAGGCACAGAAAGAGAGAGGGGCAGGGGCAGGAAGAAGAGCCAAACTTCTTCAGGGGCATATACAGAGGGGGAGAGTACCTCTAATGGCAATCCGTTTTAAACACACATACTGTACACACACAGAGAGAGTGGTCATCCATGCAAGACATTCAGAGGGTGGTGTTCATATCACCTGTCAGAAATGTTACAAAGGGGCCGTACAGATGGCCTCTAAGGGGCGACTCCATGCTGCCCCTGGGAGCTGGATCAGGGCCGTGGCAACCACATGCCGTGGCCCCAATCTGGCAGTTTGCCACTCCAAAAAGAGCTGGCAAATGCCGCTCCTTTTTGGACAGCAATAATAATAATAATAATAATAATAATAATAATAATAATAATAATAATAATAATAATTTATTTATACCCCGCCTTTAGCCAAGGCTGTCAAGGCAGCTTACAGTTAAAACACCCATACAGTCAACAACATATACCCCCCCTTAAAATTATATTAAATTAAAATCTCTCAACAATAAAACAATTAAACATCTCCACGTGAAAAGACAGCTAATATGGTTGGACAGGGGTGCTGTAGCCATCCCAAAAGGAGCTGTCTAGCCACCCTTACTGCCATTGCCGCGGCTCTTCTGCGCTCCTTTGGCATAGCGTGTCTACATGCTGCACCAAGGGAGCTTCCTGATGGCGTGTGCCGTGCATGTGGTGGGTGCGGTCCCCCCACCCCAACTCCATCCCCAGGCTGGCCCTTGTGGCCGGTCTGTAGAGGCCCTAAGATTCTGTATGTTCCAGTATGGGAGGAGGTGTAAAAGGGTGACACCATGAGTTACCCCGCTGGGTGACTCTAACCCTAGTGATGCTACTGATGGGAATGGTGATCAAACTGACTGCCTGAGCAGTCTTTTGCAGAAGTAGCAAAGTCTTTTCAGTGATGTCAGCTTCTTTTACTTTACTATCTGAGGTTGGCCCCTCATTGTGACCCATGAAAGAGCTGACCCTGCAGTCTTAAAGAGGAAGTCTTTGCATCCCTTCCCAGTCAAGACAGTCCATGTCCACCCGCTGTGTTCAGACATCTCTTACACGGAAGAAACACACACCTCTATAAACTTTTGTGTCATCTACATCAGTCTTGTCTTTTGGGTGGGAACAACAGATGGGATAAAAGGTAGATTACAGTTTTATTTCCCACACACACACACACATGTTTGTTTTTATAAAAATGTTCACTCATATTCATATACCTTCTGCCTGTTTATCCAGGAGTAAAGCTATTAATTGGGACTTCCAAGTAAGTATGGCATTACTTTAGCATTACGTAGGATTCCAGAACTCTGATGTTCATGCAGTTTCAAATGTCTGATTTGTACAGGTAATGTTATGCAGGTCCTCTTGGCAGAGAATTTGGGCTGATGAGCTAAAATATATTACATTTTAATTTGAAATTGAACAATCTAAATTCAAAAGAATTTTCATTACATCTTTTGTACTGGACACACACCTTTCCTACTGATATTTACGGTTCTCTGCTTTGTCTCTTCCTCTTTCTTTCCTCTGTCCTTCCCATTTCAGAGTGAATTGGATGAGAACCAAATCCAGATGGCTGGTGATGATGTAGACTTGCCAGAAGATCTCCAGAAAATGGTGGCTGAAGATCAAGTAGAAGAGGAAGACAAAGATTCTATTCTCGGACAACTTCAGAACATCCAAAATATGGACATGGATGCTATCAAAGAGAAGGCCCAAGCTACTTTCACTGATATTAAGCAGGCAGCTGAACAGAAATGTTCTGTAATGTAGTAGAGACAGTTACAAAACCTGTGTGCAAATGCCCACTAGCCATGGATCGGTATGGCTACTCACACTGCTCAGTTGCCAATCTGCACTTTTATGAGGAATGTTTTGGGCTTTCCTTTCCAAATAATGTAAAAATACAAAAACAAATCAGATATATCTGGAGGTGGTGGGATTCCAAAATTGCAGGTGATGAACCCAAAGCTATAGAGTTGAAAACACAACTCTTTCCTTGGCGTTCACCAATGTACACCATGCTTCCAGTGAATTACATGATACAATTCACCTTGTTAACAGTGAATGGGAGCCTTTTCAGTAATTTTAAATAATTTCAGTTTACAGATTTAAGAAAGATATAATAGTTCTCATTCAGTGTGGTATTAGAAAAGAGTTTCATAGATAGGGAAGATTAAAGATATGTGACATTTATGGACTTTGCTGAGTAGTAATGTCCTGAAATAAAGGGATACCTGTTATACACAGTGTACAGAGTTGTTGTTAAGTAAAGGAACAATAAATATTATGTTATAAAGGGACTATGTCCCAACCTCTAATTCTATATTAAACATACATTTTGTGTTAATATCTTTGGTCATCTTGAAAGGGAACAATATTTGGGTGTGTGTGAAAAAAGAGCCACGTGACTTTCAAAACACAGAATGTTTCATCATGGTTTTTAAAAGAATGTATAATTTGTAAACACATCAAAACAAATTACTGTAAAGTAAAGGATCTGGTACCTATAAATTCAGCTGGTTTATAACTTCATGTGGCATTCAAGGACTGCTTTCATTTTTCTGGGTCTACTTCTGGCCTTTGAATAATAGCCTGATATACAGAAATTTCACCGGTGAAGCTTTTCTCATATCTTAGTTTCACATTCCTTGAAAACCTTCGCCAACTAAATTTGCTAGACATTTAAAGCTGGATCCAGCATTCAGCATCACTCATTCAGCTTCATTGCTGAACTGCGG